GTGGTGGTGGATGGTTCTGTTGGAGGTGGGTGGTGGTGATGGATGGCGGTGATAGGTGGTGGTGGGTGATGTTTTTTGGGTGGTGAGTAGCGTTGGTTAGTGGTTTTTTTTTTTTATTTTTATTCATATTAGTATTATTTGATGATTTTAATTTTAAAAAATTGTATGTTCCAAATTTGTTCTAAAATATTCTCACAATAAGAAATGTTTTCAATCTCTCTCTCTCTCTCTCTCTCTCTCTCTATATATATATATATATATATATATATATATATATATATATATATATATATATATATATAGTAATTGGCCTTGTTTCCTCGTATTTATAATTAATCTAATCGGTTTGCTAGACCGAATGGAGTAACACTTTTCCAACCTATCACCCATTAAATTTCCTACATGCATGTAACATAAAGTAACAATTCTCTTATTTAATAAAATGCTGATCCTGTGTTACAAGCATAAGTTAATACACAAATGCTTAAGAAAAGATGGCTTTACACGACAAATGTATGGTTCCTTAAACATGCATAATAAAAGTTACCTCTATTATATATAATATCGTTTAATTCATCACCGGTTTCTCATGCAACTGCCTAGATCCTGCATAATCTTCGGGTACCGGAAGATCAAGTTCCGAGCAAACAAACCGGATTACCTCTGCGGTGGTGAAAGCCATGAAAGATATCTTGTTTACAGTCACAGAAATCGAAAACCGATTGTTGATGTCACCGTATCCTGTCGAACCACCTAAACCCGCATGACCAAACCCGATCATCAAACCCTCGGTTGATTTAATCCTCTTAAAACCAAGCCCATATTTCCCATCCGGTAATGCTAAATCCTTATAATCTCCGGTTCCCAAAAATGCGTCATGAATTTTCGATTTAGGGTTGTTAAAGATTTTAGTCACGATGGTTGTATGGCTGTCGGTGGTTGCAGAATGGGATGAAGGGATGGTGCCGCCGTCCACAAGGGCGGCATAGTAGCGGGCCAAAGCACGAGCCGAGCAGTTTCCATTGGCAGCAGGTACTATGGCACGTCGGCCTTCAACTATGTTGCATAAGTTAACAAGGGCAGGAATCACCTCCGGCACGAGGGAGGAAGGCATGGCGGCATAAGGGTTTTTATTGACAGGGGGTGCGGCGGTTGGAGGTGGAGGGCTACTAAATTCACTTGTATCGTACGAAGAATTAGCTAGACGAGATTCCACATCTGAATTGCACATAAAAATGATAGTTTCTTATCAACTATCAAACTAATTCAAGGTAATGCATAAAAACACTTGTTAAAAACCCGGCAACCAGGAAATTGAGTTTTTTTTTTTTTTTTTAGAATGGACAAAAAAAAAAAGTATAGTGGTCTACTCGTTATAGAAAATAGTTAAGTGGTGAAAAATGGAATAATGGTGGAAATGCTAATTTAATTAATGAGCTGTGAACGCCAATCTCACTTGGAGGAATCCCTATAAAAAGCTCTCCCTCCAGATTAAGTGGTCGTACAAAAGCTTCCTCAAGAACATCTTTAAACTTCTTCCCGGATGCATGCTACATATTCAAGAACATATACATCAATGAAAATAAAGAAATATATGAAATTAAGTAACCATTCCCTTTACGTTCAAGTCAATCAAATAAGACCACAAGGAGGCACGAAGACCTCGTGTGAACACACAACATAATTGAAAAGGATGTATGCATTTGATTGAGACTTTAGTGTAAAAGACAAAAAATTGGAAAAGGTGAGATATGGAGTTGGTTTGGGTCTCTTTAGTGTAAAAGACAAAAATAAAAGATGGATATAATTCTATAATAATGGTACCTCAATGATGCCACCACATAGCCAACCATATGACAGATAATGATAAACCTGTTCACGACCAGGCTCAGTCTCGGGTGTGGCCATCGCAATGCGTTTTAAACACTCATCCCAATCACAAAATGACACGTGGTCCTCAGTAATGCCAGCAAGAGCATTGTGTAGGCCAGATGTATGATCAAGTACATGATGAACCTAAGAGAGAAAGGAAAAGTGATGTCGTCCTTGTATTCGAATGTATAATTAATTACAAAGTTATAGAGAAAATGTAATGGAACTATGTGATATATAAATGAGGTACCTGTAACATAGCAGACATAAAACCACGTAAAGCCTATAGCTTAATTAGTACATCCACAATCAATAAAGTTAGAGCATGTTTGGCACGGAGCTTTTGGAAGCGTTTTAGAGCTTCTAGTTTTTAGCTTTTGATAAAACGTTATAATTTAAACAAAAAGCTTCGTTTGGCAGTACGAGCGTTTAGCTTTTAGTTTTAACAAAACGCTCCGATTCTAAAAGCTACTTCATGTAGCGTTTAACAAAACGCTCCTGAGCTTTTGAAATCAATTTCCATAATTACCTTTAAAAATATATTTATATATTTATTTATTTTTAATCAATTGTCCTTTTATGTAATTTTATATATTTCAAAAGCTTCCAGTTAATTTTGCCAAACATTCATATAACAAATAAAAGCTACAGCTTCCCGCTACCAGCTACACGCTACCAGCTACCCGCTACCAGGTAACCACTACCCGCTTTCGGCTAACAGCTACTTTTGCCAAACACGCCCTTATAAACTTTTTCTTTTTGATATAACTTTGATCATTTTTAACCAACATATCTAAAAATAAAATTATATATTTGTTTAACATTTTATATTCATGAAGTTTTCATTTTTCTAATCAAATAATTCAGTGACAATATATTGAAAGCCAATATGACATTGGGTTTAATTCATTGAATGTCTAATATCCACCAAATTAGTTCAACAATTTCATTAAACTATGTAGTATATATGGATGCTTTGAAACTAACTTTAAGTTTTATGTTTGAAGATTTAGGGTTAGGGTAAACAATTTGCGCACCTTTATCTTATCTTTTCCATTTACAGCAAACTCAAGCCAAAAGTTTGCGATATTATCGTCAAGCTTCAGTATCCTAAAATGAAAGTACACATTACTTTTATTTCCATCCATTCCATAATGAGATACCACGTATAGCTCCCCTTATGGGTGTTAAAAATATCAAATTGACGAAAATACCCCTTATCAGCCAGCCAATGTATCATTCCAGCCGTGATTCCCTTAGTTACAGAGAAAACAGGAAACAAGGTATCGGGTTGAACTGGACGAGGGTCATCTTTTCCCATAACTCCAGCTGCAGTATCAATTATCACTTTCCCATCTTTGTAGGCACAAACCTAAGAAACATAATAATCAAAGTTTTTGTAAAATACAATCACAAAAGGTATAATTCTATGAGTGTAATCCAGATTTTTATAACACGTTTCTAATTTATATGCTTTCATTATTAGGAGTTCTAAATAAGTCAAAGCCATGTGGGCAACTGCCTAATGGTCCCTTGTTCTCAAGTAAATAAGTCATTTGTTTCTTCTTTTTAGGTACTTTTCTAGTTTAAATAGATAGGCAAAGTGTACTTTTGTATCCCCTTTTCCAGTTTTTAAGAATAAAAGTACAAAACTTTGCCCCACGTGTGTATGTTATTTCTTTACTTCCTGTTATCAAACCTCGTTAATCTAGCTCATAACCTCTGTAAAAGCCAACAAATTCAAGTGTATTTGTAATTCAAGCTTCCTAAGTCTTTAATACACACCAAAACTAAATAAAAATTATATAGTAAAATAATTATATTGGAGCAGTGGTATGCACCTGGATTCCAAGTATTCTATCAGCATTCGCTAATTCAACCAAGTGGCGCCTCAGTTTGGCTTCTACATCAGAATGGATTGGAGTTTCACATAACCATTTTGTATCTGTGGATGTTGCGTTATTCATGTTGCTGAAACAAAAATAGGTAGCTTAATAGGGTACGCATGTTTGTATGAGCAGGTGTGAATAAGGAATCAATAAGAACAGAAAAAAAAAATCATACCTTTAGAAAACAGATTCAGGAAAAGGATAGATGATATGTAGATAGCTTATGCTATGGAGAATGATCATAAAGACGGAAATGATGTGAAATACTTATATTAAAGAATCATCTTTCCAATACAGTTGGGAAAGAAATGAACATAGGGATTAAAACGTTTAATTCTTTCTTGTAAGTTCCATCTTTTCTTGTAGAACTTTGGGATATTTTGCTTTTTGCTATCTGCCAATGGTTTCATGGTTTCCTAAAACCAAAGGAATCTTCGGCATTTAATAACGTAGTGTGCTTTTCATTCTGTCTTTATACTTTATATAATGATTGGAATTTTAATTTATTTGTGACATAAACATTGGGATAATAAAACTAAATAAGAATATAATAAAAATATATATGTCTAATAATTTATAAGAATAACATTTAAATTTTATTAAAATTATGATTGTCCACTTTCAGCTGCCGGCATGCCAAACCAAAAAGTCTGGATAAAACAATGTGAGTGGGGCAACGATGTTGATAGAAATATATCGATGCTGGTCAATATTAATATATGCATTATATTTGGACTAGAAGCACAACAAGAAATGACACCTTTAGGGGACAAAAAGCATCGCAAATAGTCAAGCAAGTCGCCCCTAAAGGTATTAGAGACGATATGTCGTCCCAATTTGATCGCCGCAAATACCTCGTAGCTAATACTCAAAAGTCGTCCCTAAAGGCGTCGTCCCTAATACCTGTCGTCGCTAATACCATTTGTCGTCCCTAAAGGTGGCGTCTCTAATAATATTCCGGCAACCGGACAGTATTATTCCGGCCAAATATTCCGACGGGATGTGTCGTCACTAATGCTGAAGAACGTCCCTAAAGGTGTCGCCACTAATGCTTGTTTTTTAGATAAAATTTATATTTTATATTAGTTTATATTATAAAAATACAGAATTTATAAAATTATAAAACTTATAATTTAAAATTTTGCATTACATAAAACATCAAATAACATAGAGAAAGTATATCACATTAACATCATCTAAATCCATAATAACATCATCCATATCATAAAACAATATATATTAATCATTGTCCCCATCATCGTTTTCCTCGTCGTTGTTGGTCGCATTGTCAACTTGCTTGCTAAATGAGCGGATAATATCTCCAAGTGCAGTCACAAACACCGGGTTTTGGAGAAAAGCGTTAACATCCACATCCTACAAAGTAAGAATATAAGTTAAAATATATTATAGTATAAGAACAAATTATTATTACTTAACAATTAAGTCACAAACACATAAAGTCCATAACAATTTAACAAACTACCAAATTCATAACAATTTAACAAACTAACAAACAAGTTACCAAACTATCAAATAACAATATTCACAACAAATTAATAAGTATCTGTGTTGGTTGTGGTGTTTGTGACTGTGACTGCCACTGCCACTGCCACTGGGTGGGAGCACTTGGACCCGCTACGGAAGGCTTAGGCCCGATGCCTCTCACATGTCCCCTTCGAGCACCTAACATCTTCTCAAATAAGGCTATCCAATCAATGGAGTTCGGATCACCACTGGAGTCGGCAATGTGATGGGTTTGTAAAGCAACCTCAGCAACTAAAGCATTCTGCATTTCACGAAGATTGTCAATATACTTCAAAACAAACACAAAAAAAAAACAATATTCTACTTCATTTTTAAGTAATAATAACTTACATATTGTTCTTCAACTAATGGGTCAACGAATTCCCCTTGTTTATTAACATGTGCACGATGAAATACTTCAAGTTTATTCAAATTCTATTTAACATTAAAAAAATATGTTATACTAAAATAAACATTACAAAATATGTTATAACTAAATAAACATTAATATAACTTACATTTTTGAAAGAAGCACTACTGTAGCTGCACGTCCCTCCACGATTTTTAACTACTTGCTTCTTTCGGCATTCTTTGTTTACACTGGATCGTTTACAATGTGTATCAGTTAAGAAGTGGTCAATAGTAGCACTCCAACGCGTTGAATCCATACCCACAGGGGGTCGAGCCCTTGCTGCCTCCGCACCCTCTAGCATATCTATAAATTTACTTTTTGCAATATTTTTGCGGCCTCTATACCGCTGACATATCCGATGGTTCAGTGATGCTCATAAAATTCTAGCATCGGGATCATTTGAAATGGCTTGAAAATCAAAATATGTCTACAAAAAATATAGAATTTAAAAATAAATCAAAATTAAACATGTTAAATATAACTTTATAAATAATTACCGAAAGATATGTAAACATGCCATTTCGATCATCTTCAGGAACTTCTTTCCAGGTGTTCTTATCCAAAGCTATGTCGCGCCAGATATAACTTCCAACCTCCCGAATGAAGCATTCATATACATCCCCAATCGGCACAAAAGTATTCCTGTCAAATATTATTTTTAGAGGTTGTCTGCCGTTTGCTTCATATAGCCGATGCATTTTCTTGTTTACTGCCATGCCTCTTCGTCTGGGAGGTACAGCTGCAAAAAATATAAATAAATTTAAATATAGTTTTTTTTATATATATACAATATGAAATACAATGAATTAGAATAAATCTTAATTACCATCAATCTGGTGAACACCAAAATCTCCACCGAACGGATGTGGTGGCTTGTCACCACCATCACCTCCATGGCCCATCATAGCAGCCATGAGATGAACCAATGCAACCCAAAAAAATGACACGACTACAGGAACGGATCTAGAAAAAAGATATAGGGTATGCAATGTTTACAAAAATTATTACTATCAAGATATTTAGGTCAAAAGTCGACAAAAACATATCATAAATTAAGAAATGTCATAATATAGTTAACAATGTAAAAAATGATGACAAAATATAATATTCTTACAAGTCAAAATGAAAAATCACAATCGGCAATTACTATATATAAAATTTTGATTAATTTGACAATCCAAAACATGAAAAACAAAATAACTATCCTACAAAATAACAGGTTATATATAATTAACAAACCTAGGTAGAAAAAAAAAATTCAATTATAAAAAAACTGTATTATAATTTATAGATAATACAAATAATTACATTACAAATATTGCCTAATAGTATTAATGAAATCATAGAAGTTAATAAAATTAACAAAAGATAAAAACACATAATCAAAAACATTCTTAAAGCCAAATAAACATACTCACGATATATAACTTTTGATTATACTAAATTAACATATAATCAAACACATTTTCAAATACACATATATGCACACTTATATCAAATTCATATATACATATATACACATATATCAAATTAATACACATTTATATATATATATATATATATATATATATATATATATATATATATATATATATATATATATATATATATCAAATTCATACATAAATAGAGTATATTAATGCACCTGTGGTTGTGGTTGTAGAACTAGAACTGAAAATAGTGGAGATGGCGGCAGTGGAGGTTAGGAATTCACCGGAGACTGGCAGTAGTGGCGGTGATTGGTGGTTGTAATGGGGAAATCTCCTTAAGACCATCAAAAGTAGTAAAATTAGCAAAAAAAAAAAAAGAGAAATGGAAACAAAAACAAAAAGCGGTGGAAATCAAAAAGGAAAACAAACCTTTGTCGGTGGAGAAATACGTCGGAAACTCAGAATGTCGCCGGTGGAGCACGTCGCCGGTGGAGCACGTCGCTAGTGGAGCAGGTACGCCGGTGAGGAGCTGGAAATCACTCCGGTTGAAGAAGTGGGGTGCACCGGTGGTTAATAGTCGATGGAAGATGCAAAACGAGTCTCCAGTCGCCGGAGAAGCATTGAAATCGCCGGAAGAACGAGAGAGAAATGGAGTGGAGGTGATACCTGGTCTGCGATCTGCTACCTGGAGGGGAACAAAAAGGCCACCCTTTAGGGACGATGCCTTTAGGGACGCTGAATTAACCATTAGCGGCGACATGTTGGAGGGAAAACACGCGCCAATTTTTTCATTAACTCCATCCGTCGGATCAAGATGTAATCGTAGGGCCAGAACTTGATTCAGAGGCATTCACACGGATCGCTGGTACCACCCTTTAGAGACGACACTATTAGCGGCGACAGTGACCTTTAGCGACGACAAAAAGGCGAATTGTCGAATGTCGTCCCTAAAGGTACACGTCGTCCCTAATGGTGGCGCCCCTAAAAGTTAGATTTCTTGTTGTGAAGGTAACAATTTAGATAAATGATTTACAAATATTTGAGCAACTTATGATGGCTTATATGAAAAAAAAAAAAAAAGTTGATAAGTTATTGTCCAATCAACAGTTAGATCTTTATATATATTAAAAGAGAAACTTTATGATATTATCTTCAACAATCAAAACCATTAATTGTATTTTATTGATTAATTTCAACTATCGCATCATTTTGATGATGCCATCCTAAAATTAAATTAAATTAAATTAAATTAATGTTGATTGAATTTGAAAGTTTAACTAATTGATTTAATGTTAATATCATTTATAAAAGAAATTTATTCAACTCATTTAAACATTATCATAATTTTTTAAAGTAAATTTCGTTACTTCCTAATTAAAATCATGTTCTTAATTATCCTCTTTCATATATATTTTTTCAATTCATATCTATTCTATGAAACGTATCTACAAGATTACGGGATATCATTGCTCAATTTCAAAGATTCAAAGAATTCAAAATTTAATATCTTTTCCATAATCATTGTTGAAAGTTATATATATATATATATATATATATATATATATATATATATATATATATATATATATATATATATATATAAATCATGTGTTATTGTTCGTATATTATGTTTTCTTCAGACCTTTTGCAGCATCATGTTCGATTAGCATCATCCTTTGCAGCATCACGTTCATCATCCAGGTTCTTTCTTTATTATGATTTTATTAATTTTTATTAATTGTGTTTGATTTTTTTAATTCTCATTAGTGTTGTATTTGATTGTGATCTTTGAATGTATGAATAATCTTGATTATAAATGTTAGTGTTAGTTATTCAATCTTTTACTTTTATCTTTTTACCCTTGCATTTGATGTTGCACTCTGCATGTTTGATAAAATGTCCATGAGAAAAGCATGGTGACTTTTAATTAACTGTATCTATGTATGTGTGTCTTACGTAATTAAATTTTTCTGAGATTGTTTGGGTTGAACGGTAGTTAATGATTAAAAACTACCATTTACCCTTCAGTGTTTTTAATTATCAATATTACACTGCTATTAATTTGACATATTTGCTCATAATTCTTGGTTTTTAACAGATTTAGTTACTAGCAATTTACTTTGACGTTAATCTAAAATGTTTTGACATGCAATTTCTAAATTTCTTTTGAGTTGTTGTAAGTATGTTTAGTGGATACAAAGTGCATTGTAATTTCTATTTTGTTTTTTAACATATTCAGTTACTAGCAATGTGTGTATATGTTTTCTTATTTAAAAAGCCAAAGCTTTTATTTCAACATTTTTCCCTAATCTACCTATGTCCTTGAAAGGTCATATCTCGGTCATCGGAAGCCCTTTTTTGGTCGAAATCAGTGAACAAAGTTTCGTATTTAAGACAATCAATCTTGGAAATAACATACTTATGAAAAATTATAAAGATAAAAAAAATTATAAGATATTAGGAGATTTGTAAAATGTACAATTAGTAAAAACGTTACAGTTATTAGAAAAACAAAAATAAGACCGTTAACATTAGTAAAAATGTAATATATAAACCAACTTATCACAATAGTAATGAAATGCTATTATTTGATGTTTCATATAATTGAAAGATATATACCAAATTACATGATATATCAATATTACTCAAAGTTGCGTCAAGTGTAATGCAAAGTTCTTGCCAACACTAAATAATAAAAACAACCATAAACGCTACAACTTATATTCATAATCAATTTAAAATAAACCAATCATGATTTAGAAAAAAAAATCGTTAATTATATACTAAAATCAAAATTCATATAACATTTAACATCAGGGGCGGACGTAGAAATATGTAGTAGTAGGTGCACAAAAAAAACTCAGTCGCATATAATAACATAAAAAAATTAAGAGTGAATTAAATATAACAAACTAGTGTAGAAAAACTTCATTAAAGACAAATTCATCATTTCATGAGCATGTTCTTGGTCTCATCGGAGTTTGTTTCCATGTTGTGGTTGTACAAAATTTTGAAGGCATTATTACCAAAAATTTCATTCTCATGGTGGTAAGAAAGTTTTCAATCATTTTTAAAAATTGAAATAAAATGTTATCTAATCTCCATAAAATTTCATTCTCATGGTGGTAAGGAATCATCCACTGAATGTGTGTAATGTGGAAGGAAGATTATACTATGATTTTGATGGCTAGATATTTTTGGGGGCCTAGTAACAAAAGGTAAACTAAAAGGAAAAGAAAGGTTAAAATAAAAAAGAAAATTGTTAAGAGGAGGAATCCATTGAATGTGTGTAATGTGGAAGGAAGATTATACTATGATTTTGATAGCTAGATATTTTTGGGGGCCTAGTAACCAAAGGTAAACTAAAAGGAAAAGTAAGGTTAAAATAAAAAAGAAAATTGTTAAGAGCAGGAGTTGAACTCGAGACCCATCACAAAGGAGAACTTTAAGATGCATTTCAGACCAACTCAACTACCAAACCTTTCATTTAAATTTTAAATTACAATAATAATATAGTTGTTTTCTAGGTGCACACTAATAAAAAATAATTTTTTTTACACTAATACGGGAAAATCTAGTAGTTGCACGTGCAACCTCGTGCACCACTACAAATCCGCCCATGTTTAACATTCCATAAATTATACTCTATGACTTTATTTGAATAAATGAAATAGTTCTTAATATTTAATGCAGTAAAAAAATAATATATTAATTGGTTCTCAATATACGTTTAAATTAAATAATCTTATTATGGAAGGAACGTCTAATTACAGTGTTTATGCTTATATAACAATATAATGAAGTAACATTTTTAAATAATGAAAAAACATAGAATAATATTAAGTGAAAAATAATTAATTCAAAAATACCAAAAATTATCATGTGACAAAACGAATAATAAAATAATATATATATATATATATATATATATATATATATATATATATATATATATATATATATATATATATATATATATATATATATATATAGTTTATCTTTTTTTTTATTGTGTTGACTATTTAAAACCTTTATATGTATTTTTTTATATATATTTCCCCACGTTTAAAATTTTATATTTTGACGACTTACGCATTTCTTTTATCAAAATTCAAACTTTCAAAATCGGATTTCGATTGTAACCTACCAATTTAATCGTCATTCGTTTCATCGATAATTTCACCCAATTTAAATTTGTATTTCTCTTATATAAACTTTTTTAACGATCTCAATTTTTTCTCTCCGAAAATATTTCAAACATTTATTTCTTAAGCGTTCCTTTATCAAATTTAAATTTGTATTTCTCTTATATTCATAAACAAAATTATTTTTATAACTTATGTGTTTCCTTTATCAAATTTAAACTTTCCAAAATTGGATTAACCTGTAACCTATCAATTTATTCGTCATTAATTTCATCCATAATTTCAAACCCAATTTAAAATTTTATTTTCCATATATAAATTTTTTTAGTAATCCTCATGACCCGATTTT